TTTCTTCGGTGTGATGTTTCGTATATAGAGATATATAATTAATATCCAACTATATATATAATATATATATATATTACTATATATTACTTTATATATATATTACTATTTAAATACTACTATATATTAATATATATATATTACTATATAAATGTTACTATACATTACTGTGTATATTACCATATATATTACTATCAAGTTAATACAGAATGATTTGCATATATTTACATATATATTGTAATAAGCAGGGACCCCTTTATAGAAAAAAATAATAATCAATCCCACATTTTAAAGTGCTTTCACGATCCACTTTTCAGTGTCAGCCCATGATGGCTACTTCCCTCCTGCAGCTGCACGTGGAGAGGTGTGGGTGATTTCTCACAGGAGTGTGTGTGGGCTTGCGGGTGCTGGATCTTCGGACACTTCACTTGTGTCTGGTTGGGGGGGGAAGGGGTGCTGGATCAAAGCCCCCCTCCCCCCTACTGTGCATGCACCTCTCCCACATTTTGAATGATGGCATTTACCATGCCCCCCCAACCCCCGGCCTGGTTTTGATGGGACGCTTCTAGGATAAGGATGCGTGCTGGCGTGCCATGGAGTCCCAGGGACTTCGAGGTGGGGGGCTCAGGGAGTGGGAGCTCCGAGTGGCTTCAATTTTCTCCTTTTAATTCCGCTGTTTCTCTCTCCTTTGCCCCCTGTCGTTGTAGGACCGGCACGATGGAGTCCCCAGCCACAGCTCCAGGCTGTCCCAGCTGGGATCTGTCTCCCAGGGACCCTACTCCAGCGCCCCTCCGCTGTCTCACACCCCGTCCTCGGATTTCCAGCCGCCTTACTTCCCACCCCCCTACCAGCCTCTTCCTTACCACCAAAGCCAGGACCCTTACTCCCATGTCAATGACCCTTACTCCCTAAACCCTTTGCATCAACCCCAGCAGCACCCTTGGGGACAAAGGCAGAGGCAAGAGGTGGGATCAGAAGCCGGCTCACTGCTGCCACAGCCTCGGGCAGCCCTGCCTCAGCTCTCGGGACTGGACCCCAGGCGGGACTACCACTCAGTGCGGCGGCCAGACGTGCTCCTCCACTCGGCTCACCATGGCCTGGACTCCGGCATGGGGGACAGCCTCTCCCTGCATGGCATCGGACACCCCGGCATGGAAGAAGTGCAGGTAAGGACGCCAGCGCCTCCTCCCCGGACTGCCAGGGCACGTGGGGAGAGACAGTCAACAGTGATCAATTATGAATTGTAGCAATTAGCAAGCGGAGAGAGCTGGAGGGGGGTCCTCGCACACCCCTGCCCCTGCAGCGCGGCTCCCCAGAGTTATAGTTGGAGTCCTTGGCTTTTAAAAACCGAAAGAAAGGGAAAAAAGAAGGAGCTGGAGAGGGGGGGTTCGCTTTTTCTCTCTGCCTCAAACCAGCCCTGCTCCTTGAGCTCATCCAGACAGAAAGGTGAGAGCTGAGAAAAGGATCTACCAAGCAGAGAAGGGAAGGAGAGATTTAAAAAAATAATAATAATAAAATAAAATAGAATAAACTAAGATGGTTCGGGAAAAGGTCAAGTTAAGGGAGAGGGTTTCTTCCTTGTTTTTGTCTTCTTGGAAATATTAAGCCATATCCACCCCCAGCTTTCAGGGAGATCCCTCAGAAGGGCACATTTAAACAGATCTTACCACGGAAGAAGGAAAAGGGGAGAAATAACCCAAGCCCGTGTGTCTTTTTTTCTAGAATATGTTTTCTATGATAGATAGATAGATAGATAGATAGAATATCTATCTATATAATATTTCTCTGTGTGTGTGTATATATATATACACATACGCACACATATAGATTGATATACATCTATTATCGTGAAAGACAGATGGGTCGAAAATGATAGATAGATAGATAGATAGATAGATAGATAGATAGATAGA